TAAAAAGAAGAGAGAGAAGACTCAAATTAATAAAATCATGACTGAGAAAGGAGAGATCACTACCAACACCAAGGAAATACAAACGATTTTAAAAACATATTATGAACAGCTATACGCCAATAAATTAGGCAATCTAGAAGAAATGGACGCATTCCTGGAAAGCCACAAACTACCAAAACTGGAACAGGAAGAAATAGAAAACCTGAACAGGCCAATAACCAGGGAGGAAATTGAAGCAGTCATCAAAAACCTCCCAAGACACAAGAGTCCAGGGCCAGATGGCTTCCCAGGGGAATTCTATCAAACGTTTAAAGAAGAAATCATACCTATTCTACTAAAGCTGTTTGGAAAGATAGAAAGAGATGGAGTACTTCCAAATTCATTCTATGAGGCCAGCATCACCTTAATTCCAAAACCAGACAAAGACCCCACCAAAAAGGAGAATTACAGACCAATATCCTTGACGAACATGGATGCAAAAATTCTCAACAAGATACTAGCCAATAGGATCCAACAACACATTAAGAAAATTATTCACCATGACCAAGTAGGATTTATCCCCGGGACACAAGGCTGGTTCAACACTCGTAAAACAATCAGTGTCATTCATCATATCTGCAAGAGAAAAACCAAGAACCATATGATCCTCTCATTAGATGCAGAGAAAGCATTTGACAAAATACAGCATCCATTCCTGATCAAAACTCTTCAGAGTGCAGGGATAGACGGAACTTTCCTCGACATCTTAAAAGCCATCTATGAAAAGCCCACAGCTAATACCATTCTCAATGGGGAAGCACTGGGAGCCTTTCCCCTAAGATCAGGAACAAGACAGGGATGTCCACTGTCACCACTGCTATTCAACATAGTATTGGAAGTCCTAGCCTCAGCAATCAGACAACAAAAAGACATTAAAGGCATTCAGATTGGCAAAGAAGAAGTCAAACTCTCCCTCTTCGCCAATGACATGATACTCTACATAGAAAACCCAAAAGACTCCACCCCAAGATTGCTAGAACTCATACAGCAATTTGGTAGCGTGGCAGGATACAAAATCAATGCCCAGAAATCAATGGCATTTCTATACACTAACAATGAGACTGAAGAAAGAGAAATTAAGGAGTCAATCCCATTTACAATTGCACCCAAAAGCATAAGATACCTAGGAATAAACCTAACCAAAGAGGTAAAGGATCTATACCCTAAAAACTATAGAACACTTCTGAAAGAAATTGAGGAAGACACAAAGAGATGGAAAAACATTCCATGCTCATGGATTGGCAGAATTAATATTGTGAAAATGTCAATGTTACCCAGGGCAATTTACACGTTTAATGCAATCCCTATCAAAATACCATGGACTTTCTTCAGAGAGTTAGAACAAATTATTTTAAGATTTGTGTGGAATCAGAAAAGACCCTGAATAGCCAGGGGAATTTTAAAAAAGAAAACCATATCTGGGGGCATCACAATGCCAGATTTCAGGTTGTACTACAAAGCTGTGGTCATCAAGACAGTGTGGTACTGGCACAAAAACAGACACATAGATCAATGGAACAGAATAGAGAATCCAGAAGTGGACCCTGAACTTTATGGTCAACTAATACTCGATAAAGGAGGAAAGACTATCCACTGGAAGAAAGACAGTCTCTTCAATAAATGGTGCTGGGAAAATTGGACAGCCACATGCAGAAGAATGAAACTAGACCACTCTCTTGCACGACACACAAAGATAAACTCAAAATGGATGAAAGATCTAAATGTGAGACAAGATTCCATCAAAATCCTAGAGGAGAACACAGGCAACACCCTTTTTGAACTTGGCCACAGTAACTTCTTGAAGATACATTCACGAAGGCAAAAGAAACAAAAGCAAAAATGAACTATTGGGACTTCATCAAGATAAGAAGCTTTTGCACAGCAAAGGATACAGTCAACAAAACTAAAAGACAACCTACAGAATGGGAGAAGATATTTGCAAATAACATATCAGATAAAGGGCTAATTTCCAAAATCTATAAAGAACTTATTAAACTCAACACCAAAGAAACAAACAATCCAATCATGAAATGGGCAAAAGACATGAAGAGAAATCTCACAGAGGAAGACATAGACATGGCCAACATGCACATGAGAAAATGCTCTGCATCACTTGCCATCAGGGAAATACAAATCAAAACCACAATGAGATACCACCTCACACCAGTGAGAATGTTAATTTTAACAAGGCAGGAAACCACAAATGTTGGAGAGGATGCGGAGAAAAGAGAACCCTCTTACACTGTTGGTGGGAATGTGAACTGGTGCAGCCACTCTGGAAAACTGTGTGGAGGTTCCTCAAAGAATTAAAAATAGACCTGCCCTACGACCCAGCAATTGCACTGTTGGGGATTTACCCCAAAGATTCAGATGCAATGAAATGCCGGGACACCTGCACCCCGATGTTTCTTGCAGCAATGTCCACAATAGCCAAACTGTGGAAGGAGCCTCGGTGTCCATCCAAAGATGAATGGATAAAGAAGATTTTGTTTGTGTATACAATGGAATATTACTCAGCCATTAGAAACGAGAAATACACACCATTTGCTTCAACGTGGATGGAACTGGAGGGTATTCTGCTGAGTGAAGTAAGTCAATCGGAGAAGGACAAACATTATATGGTCTCATTCATTTGGGGAATATGAACAATAGTGAAAGGGAATATAAGGGAAGGGAGAAGAAATGTGTGGGAAATATCAGAAAGGGAGACAGAACATAAAGACTCCTAACTCTGGGAAACGAACTAGGGGTGGTGGAAGGGGAGGAGTGTGGGGGGTGGGGGTGAATGGGTGACGGGCACTGAGGGGGACACTTGACGGGATGAGCACTAGGTGTTATTCTGTATGTTGGTAAATTGAACACCAATAAAAATTAATTTATTAAAAAAAATAAAAATAAAAAAAAACAATAGATCCTTAAATACAGATAATAAACTGGAGGTTGCCAGAAGGGAGGTGGGTCAGAGATGGGCAAAATAGATCAAGGGGATTAAGAGGTACAAACCCTCAGTTATAAAATAAATGTTACAATGATGAAAAGTACAGCAAAAAGACTATAGCCAATAATATCATAATAACACTATATGGTGAGAGAAGAGGACTACACTCATGGTGGTGACTATTAAGTAATCTATGTAGTTGTCCAATCAATATGTTGCACACCTAAAACTAATATAGTATTGTATGTCATAATTGACATACAATTGAAGTATAATTACTTCAATAAAAAATATAAAAAATGATGCTTATAGCTTATCAATTTATAATACACTGACTTTGTTTTTACTATGAACACTAGACTCCAGCGATGATGCTTCCCTGAGCATCTCTCCTTGAGTTCCTTCCTCTTTTCTAACCTAACAAAAAAGTTCAATACCCCTTTCTCTGGGGCACCTGGGTGGCTCAGTGGGTTAAGCATCCAACTTGTGATTTCGGCTCATGTCAAGATCTCATGGGTTTTAGGATTGAGCCCAGGGTCAGGCTCATGCTCACGGGGAGTCTGCTTGAGATTTTTTCTCTCTCTCTCTGCCCCTCCCCCCACTCACTCTTGTGAGTTCTCTCTAAAATAAACAAACAAACAAACAAACCCCTTTCTTTAAAACTTCTGGGGCCATCTGGGTGGCTCAGTCAGTTGAGCATCTGCCTTCAGCTCAGGTCATGATCACAGAGTCCTGGGATTGAACTCTGCATAGGGCTCCCTCCTCAGGGGGGAGCCCACTTCTCCCTCACCCTTTCCCCCTGTTCGTGCTCGTTCTCCCTCCCTCACTCTCTCAAATAAGTGAATAAAATCTTAAAAAAAAACTTCCGTAACACAAGCACCTGGATAGCTCAGTCGGTTAAATGTCCAACATTTGGTTTTGGCTCAGATCATGATCTTGAGATCCTGGGATTAAGCCTTCCTTTGGGCTCTGTGCTCAGCAGGTAGTTTGCTTGAGATTCTCTTTCCCCTTCTGCCCTTCTCCCCTGCTCGTGTGCATGCTCTCTCTCTCTAAATAAAATCTTTAATTTTTAATTATTTATTTATTTATTTATTTATGAGAGAGAGAGAGAGAGAGAGAGAGAGAGAGAGAGAGAGAGAGAGAGAGAGGCAGACACACAGGCAGAGGGAGAAGCAGGCTCCATGCACCGGAAGCCCAATGCGGGACTCGATCCCGGGTCTCCAGGATCGCGCCCTGGGCCAAAGGCAGGCGCCAAACCGCTGCGCCACCCAGGGATCCCCTAAATAAAATCTTTAAAAAAAAAAAAAACTTCTATATCTGTTGTTTCTGAGACATACCTAATATCACTCTTTAGCACATCTGACATCACTTGTTTAGCAACTAGTGTTATTTTCATGGTCAGTGCCCAAGAATGGATCTTTATATAATGGCTATGTCGGGTATTGTCATTTCCAACTCCAGAGCAGTTCCACAGAATTTAGACCACTGCCTTTGGCTTGCCCACCCCTGCTGTCCTTGAATAGCATGCCATCTACAGTAAAGAGAGGTAAGGAAGAGTATTCTTAGAGTGGGGAGAGGAGTTCAAAGATAGATAGGTTTTTTTTGTGGTTTTTTTGTACAAGAAGTCAAAGATTTTAAAACAGTGTCAATATCTCTTCGGTTCCTCCACACTTCCTCACTGATTAGGCAAAGTGAGGTGATGATATTGGTAACTTTCCCCATCAGAGCCTCGTGTGAAACAAGCACTTCCCCCTTGCTAGGATGATCAATCTCCGCTCGGCAGAGTCCCGTGGGAACAGGGCCCTCAAAGCTGGACCCACACAGATCCACACGCAGGGAAGCGAACCTGGCTCTCCTAGCCAGGTGTATTCTTAGATGCCGCTTGCAGAGTTCCTCACAAAGGTAATTTGTGATCAATTTGTAACTGAGAGCGATGCACATAATTCGGGAATGCAGACTGCAAACGTACATCCAAAGGTAGGCAAAACTGTGAATGTTTCTTACAAATTGCCAATACACTTACAGTTTTCTCAGTATTTTCAAAAGCTTCTCTTGCTTCTTCAAACGTGCAGATTTCTTCTTTGCATTCACGATCAATGTTGCCCTGTCTTATTTCTTCAAAAAGTCCATTAGCTCTTGGGTAGCGTTTCAATACTGAATTGGCTTTTTCTCCTGTGAGGAAAACTAAGAAGAGAGAAAATCAAAAGCATAAAATTATCATTTGAAAAACATGTGGAAGCTTCACATACAAGGTGGAAACTGCTAGGTGCTCTTTAGAAAACACAACCAGTATCCTAAACCTCTTCCCCTGAGTCAGCAACGAAAGTACGAAAGTACGTTTAGCTCCAAATCGCCACCTCTGCTGTCTTCCTCCTCCTGTGAGCATGCCCTTTGAGCAGCACTTGCCCTGGGTAGGGACATAATTCACAGTTAGATTCAGACTTTAGCACATTCCTGCCAGCCATTGGTATTTAAATATAGTAATAGTGATTCCACTACTTATACTCTTTGTTGTAAGTGGATGCCCCCAGGCATTCTGCTGTTGGGCACTGGCAACCAAGTCAAAATCCAGTCTCCAGACCACCAGTCTTTGTTCCCCTAAATAAAAATAAATAAACCTAGTAATATAGACCCAGAGAACCCTTACTTATATGAAAAGAAGAGCTGAAAAAAAAAAAAAAAAAAGAAGAGCTGGCAAAACAGTATCAAGAAGTTAAGATGAATTTGGCCATAATTCATTCCTAGGAACACTAATAATTTTGCTCTAAATATACTTAAGTTAAACATTGTGATATTTAAATATATCAAACCAGTTTCACAGTCCTCCAGAAAGTTCTTCCACGACTTATAGAGGTATTCCATATAAATACTCAAAATGCACATTTATGATATCCAGTAAAATAAATGAGGCACTAGTTATAGGGCACAGTCCAGAGAAATTATTTTTAATTTTACATATTCATTTTAAATTATTTAATTTTTTTAAAGTGTCATTCATACTTCTTTGTATATGTAAATATGATGCTACAATAAGTTTCTAATCTTATTGACTTCTAACATAGAAAGGGCACATTACAGATCTTTTTAAAATGTTAAAGTCTACATTTTACAAAGAATATTTTAAAGTAAATGAAAAATAGTAAGTGTTCTTTTAAAAAATGGTAACAATAGCAATGAATTTGTTACCTCATTATAGAAATGCGTATTTCACTTCACAGAAGATATGGATTCATTACTTAGGATCCTTTAAAATATCCATATTGGGGCAGCCCTGGTGGCACAGCGGTTTAGCGCCACCTGCAGCCCAGGGTATGATCCTGGAGTCCCGGGATCAAGTCCCACATCGGGCTCCTTGTGTGGAGACTGCTTCTCCCTCTGCCTGTGTCTCTGCCTCTCTCTCTCTCTGTGTGTGTCTCTCATGAATGAATAAGTAAAATCTTTAAAATAAAAAATAAAATAAAAAAATAAAAATGAAGTATCCATATCGATACCAGCTGGATGACACCTACACTATGTTAAAAACTATGGCAGGCCTTTCATAAGAGTTTCCTTCCTTCTATACCTCAGAAGGATAACCATTTATAAAAATTAATTACAGAAAAAAAATTAATTAGAGTCAAAGAATATCATTAAAAGAAATTGTAAATAATAAAAATTGTGGCAAGTGCTAAAAAACAAACAAAAAGGGTACTGCTGAGTTGGAGAAAAACCGTGAAATTTGCTAGTAGTACTTCTCACAGCTGTAGCCTCAGAATCCCCTGGAGGACTTATTATCACTGAGATTACTGGGCTCAGCTCCCATAGTTTCTGATTCCATAGATCTGAGGTGGAGTAAAAAAATGCATTTCTAATAAGTTCCCAGGTAATGCTGGTGCTGCTGGTCTTGGTCTAACTACCACGGTTTGAGAAGCACTACCTAAATGTGAGCTCCTTAGAAAACTAGTTCTGAAGGAGTTCATGGAATGTTGGCATTAACAAATGTAACAAGATCTTTTACTGCAGGATTTTTTAGGGACCTTAACGTATATTTAATCTACATCTGCATACCTCCAGAAAAGAAATAGGTCACATACATTTATCATACTTATTTGATTAGGAAGCCCTTTATCAAAGGACATTTCACTGAATTAACAACTTCCTAGTCATTGGTCTTATTTATGGCCTCTGAAAGGACATAAAATTATCTTCCATATAACAGGCCACCTGATCCATGAAGACAGTAACTCATTTGCTCCAAGGCTTCTTTTTTCCAGGCTAAGCATGTCTAGTTTCTTCAACTGTTGGCCCTGTAAAATGGATAGGAGTCTCTGCACCATTTTTATCTCATAAAATACAGTGTCCTACACTCAGTCCAATATGCTATGTGTGGTCTGACAAGTATAAAACTGCTTGGGACTATCTGCTTCCTTGTTTTTAAACACAATAGAGATATTAATACAGTCTAATATATCCCTAGATTTGGGGACAGTTTTCTTGAAAACAAACCAAACAATCAACAACAATGTATCTTAAGATTTTAAGAGAAGGGCGCTGGTGTGCCTCAGTTGGTTATGTGTCTGCCTTTGGCTCAGATCATGATCCCAGCATCCTGGGATCAAGCCCCAGATGGGGCTCCCTGTTCAGCAAGGGGTCTGCTTCTCTCTCCCCCTGTGTTTGCACTCTCGCATTTTCTCTCAGATAAATAAAATCTTAAAAAAAAAAGGGTTTTGAGAGAAAAAACTAAATTCTCAGAAAAAAATTTCTTATATGCTATCTAACATGGAAAAGGGGGTCAAGGAAAACAGCTCTTATAACCAGAAAGCTGGCTAATTCAGAAAGTTAAGCAACTCTAAGGTAAAGTATAGCAGGACACAACTCTTCTAATCCTAGCCTAATCAAATTACCAAGAGCATTCCACAAACACATTTGTATTTCTTGTATTGGGAAGCAAAGTAATATAATACTGAGAACTCTAGGTAGAAATAGGCTTGCAAGTAGATTTTATCCTGTTTGCCAAACAAATCTGGTCAATTAGAAGATACCACTCAGAGAGTTAAGATGGTGGAGTACCAGGGTGACCCTGAGCTTGCCTCGTTCCTTGAAGATAGCTAGAATCAATATCAAATCCTTTTGAACAGCCAGGAAATTGATCTGAGGATTAAGAAAACAATCTGCACAACTGGAGGAAGAGAACATGGCAGATGCAAGGTAGAGAGAAAAGCCGTGGTGCTTCAGAGTAGAGGGAGCCCTTTTCCTGGAGTAAAGTTAGGGAGAGAGGGAGAGAGATGAACGTGTAGGAATCCTACAAGACATCATGGTGTGGGGATCCATGGGTCACACTGAGGGAGAACACTCCCCTTCCTGGAGTACATTTGGAAGTGTATATTGCCTCTCCAAGAACAAAGGGCCCACTAGGCACAATTGAGCGGCCATTAAACAGCAAGGGACAGAGGTGTACAAAGAGGGCATACACTGTATAGGGCCTGGTGCTTCAGGAAGTGTTTCTAGTGTATGCTCTGTGCACTCTCCTCTTGTGTTTTGGCTGCTATTTCCCACAGGCCAGTCCTCTGCAGAGTTCCTCCTTGCTTGCAGTGGGGAGTGTTTGGACCATTAACTAGGTATGCTTTGATTTGTTTAAGATAAGCCTGATTTTAAAAAAAGAAGAAGCCTGATCCAAGAAAAGAGAAAAGGAGCAGGAAATATAACAAGCTTTCATAACATGCAAGACAGAAATCGAGACATAATGACAAGATGGAAGAAATCTCCCCAAAAGAAAGATCAAAAAGAAATCACAGGCAGGGATTTGCCCCAAACAGATATGAGCAATGTGTCTGAACAAGAATTTAGAACAAGTCATAAAAATACTAGCTGGGGGGAATGCCTGGGTGGCTCAGTGGCTGAGCATCTGCCTTTGGCTCAGGGCGTGATCCCAGGTCCGGGATCATGTCCTGCATCGGGCTCCCTGAGAGGAGCCTGCTACTCTCTCTGCCTATGTCTCTGCCTCTCTCTCTGTGTCTCTCATGAATAAATAAATAAAATATTTAAAAGAAAAATACTAGCTGGGGATTCCCAAGTGGCTCAGTGGTTGAGTGTCTGCCTTCGGCCCAGTGCATGATCCCGGGTCCTAGGATAGAGTCCCATATCGGGCTCCCTGTGAGGAGCCTGCTTCTCCCTCTATGTCTCTGCTTTTCTGTGCCTCTCATGAATAAATAAATAAAATCTTAAAAAAAAAAAAAGAATACTAGCTGGGCTTGGAGGAGCCCAATCTGCCACTGCTGCCACCACAGTTGGCACCGCTGCCACTGCTAGAGAGGGGCACGTCTTCAACTCATGCCAAGAAAGAGAAGGTGGCCACCAAATCATGCCCCTCATGTGCCAACACCTTCCTATTGCACATTAAATCTTGTCCCTGTGGTTATGTATTAGAAGGAAACTTTTAAAAGTAAAACACTCAGAGAAATCACCAACTTTTACAGAAGTGAACAGTACCATATCTTTGAAAGCTTTGCGAATATTGTTTTTATAGGAATTTAAACTAGGACACAGTGCAGCCACAGCAAGTAGAAACATCAGTTCTGTCTTCAGAGAAGGTGCTGTTAGTGAAAGGACTATATGGTGAGGGTTTGAAAAATTTTGTTCTGGGAATCTTAAGTCTGAAAAATGAGCCTTGAGGGAGACCCAAATCTGGGGATAAGGATCAGTTGAGAGCCATGGTAGAAGATAACCTCAAAACAGCAATCTGAGGTCTTGAAGCAGACTTAGGAATTTCTGCTACAATAATTTCTCAACACCTAGCTACAACAGGAAAGGTAAAAAAAAGTTGGGCAAGTAGGTAGGTAACATACCAACTGACAGATGATCACGAAAGGAGATGATTAGAGATGTGCTCATACCTTAAGATTTGAAAGAGCAGAGACCTATTTTGGAGAGGATCATAAGCTTTGACAAAAAAATGAAAGTGGTCTTGCACAATGCTTGGATGTTGACGAAGTTCCCAAATGTGTTAAAACCATCACTGCAACCAAAAAGAAGGTTCTGGTAACTATATGAGGTGGTTTGTAAAGAGAGTATTTCATTACTTTTAACTCAGGCAAAACTATCTTATCATCAAGAAGTTCAAATTATGTATCAAAAATCGATCTAAAAGCACTCTGCATTGGTTAGCAGACATAGATGGACCTATACTTTTCCATGACAACATCTGA